AAATCTATTCCCCCCTCGCATTCCCACCTCAATGTCACCACAAGGGCACACGGAGCAGCCCCTGGGGACCCCGTGGGTCTGATCCCCCGTGCTGAGGCTTTGCAGCAAGTGCCTGGTGGGAAAGGCAGGTCCGGGGGTGCCTGATGTGACAGGGGAGGTGTGAATGTGGCGCTGACAGCGGAGTTTATCTCAAGCACGAACACAGGCTCCAGTCCTGTAGCCTGAGCACCTTTATCTCAGCTTTAGCAGTGTTGGTGTTTGAAAGGCTGCTCGCCCATCACGCTGTGCTGAGGAGCAACAGCTAAAATATCCTGCCCCTCTGGCCCAGGGCCCTGCCACCCTCAGCCACAAAAGGAGGCAGCTATTTCCAGAAGCTTGGCAAACACAGCGAGTATTTTCTGGGAAAACAAAGAAGGGCTGTCAAAGGGAGAACAGAGGGTGATAAGAGCCACCACAGCCACACTGAGTTCCTGAGAGGCTTTGCTAAACTCTGGGTGAGGCTGCGTTCCTACCACTGCAGCTCAGCCTCCTGAGGCACAGGAGCCTCCTCTGTTCACACACAGCCTCATGTGCATCCACGGTGGAATTCCAGGATGGCCTCCCTGGCACAACCAGCCTGACATGAAGGATTTGCCTTCTAATCAGGATGCAAGAGTGCAGTTGTGCCTGAACTGGTGAGAAGCACCGCTGAAAGGGACTGTAAATGTTGGCAGGAATAAAAATACTGCACTCATGAATCCCAAACAAAAATCAGGATAGTTTACATCCCTGTTCTCAAAATGCAGGGACCAAACTACAGAACTCTCTGGTCAGGCCAAGTCCACATGTCTGAGATGTGTCAAAACCAGTGGGCAACTGGGATCCTGCTCTGGGAACACAAAATTGAGGTTATGCCTGGTCCCATTATCACAGCCTGAACAAAACCTGCAGAGTGTTTTTGTGGGTGACAGGCTTTATGTAATGATCACATTTTTAGTTAGTCAGGCTATTTTTAGGTTTATCACCAGTCCATTGGGAGAGGGGAAGTAAACAAGCACGGCAGCCTCTCGGACAGGTGCCATTTCATTGCTGTGGCTGTTTGGCCATTTCTAGAAGTGGCTTCTCCTCCTGCACTCTGCACACTCACCAGTGGCATGCAGCAATAAATAGCACAATGGGAGAGTGTGACCTCTTGCCCCTTGATTTGGCTGCTTGGCCAGCAAACCTTGATCAATGGGCCCTGGTGGCACCGCTCCCAGCTCTGCCAGGGGGAGCTGGGTCACAGAGAAAAACCTGGCAGATGTTTTACCCCAGATCAAATGCTTAAGAAACGACCTCCCCTCTCCCATCCCTTCTTACAGAAACTTAACATTCTGCCAAATCCACTGGAAGAGTCCAGATCATCACATCTCGTGCTGGAACTAAACTTAGCCACCCACCAGAGCATGTGACACCCAAACTTTTGAATATCAAGCACAAAGGCTCATACATCACACACATACCATGTGCCTCCCCAAGACATAACCACTAACACTTCTGTGGCTGCTGGAGCCTAATCCCTGCAAAAGAGCCACTCAGCCCCTTCTCACACTGCCTGTACCACGTTCTTGATTCTGAAGTGATGGTTTTATCAAAACCTCCGTGTCTGATCCGTTTTCTCTCCTTGAAGCAGAACTTGCTCTGAGCGAGCTTGAGGCGTGTTCTGAGCTCGCCAGGAGAGGTCCCCACACACCTCGATAACGAAAAGAAAGGCCAGGTGGGATCTCACAGGAGTGACCTGCTAGTTTTGCCGGGGAAATTGTCTCTGGGCTCAAAACATCTGGGGATATGTCACGTCCATGCTGCCCATGATTCTCTTTCTGCCTCCTGTCAGAGGTTATGACGTGCAGACTAACACTGCAGCCTTTCTGCTTGCAGCTGCCAGTTAGTTGTGTGCTCCACAAACAACTCCTTCAAGCTGCTCCCCCTGAAAGCCCAGCATTTCTGTAGAAAGGTGTAGATATGTAGATATGTAGACCAAATTAGATCTCAGTCCAAACACCAAAGGTATCTCACACAACACAGAGAATAAAAGACTCAGATTCTGAACAGTTTAGGGCAAGATCAGCCTCACAATTCCTGAGACTCCGCTTAAAGGTTGTGGGGGAGCAGCCTGGCTGCCACAGGACTATAAAGACCTACAAGGTTTCAAACCATGCAGATCTAATTGATGTTTTCAGCTGCACTGTGAACCCCTACAACCTGACCATGTAGACATTCCCACCTTTCCAAAACAACTGGGAAGCAAGATGCTGTTCATCTTAATAGAGGTGAAGCTTAGCCAAAAATAGAGGTTCAGGTGAGGATTTATGGAACATGAGCACTTCTTTAAGCCTTTGCCTCTCACCAGAGCTGGAACTCTTGTGCTGTTGCTCTGAACTCCTCAGCTTGCTTCCCATTTGTTCCAGGATCTGCTTTATTGGGTCTCCCCTCCCTCACTGCTGCTTCCCTGCTGGGCTTCATTACTGCCAGAAGAATGGGATAAATGTGTCTAAAAAAACCTTCATATTAAAATTATGCCATCCAAACCCAACGCTCCAGAACCACCTCCAGCCCGTTACTAAATGCCAGCCCTGCTTGTCCTCAGGTGGTCTTGGCCCCTTCTTGTCCCACAGGGCTACAGAGGAAAACATCCCCTCTTCAGCCCATCAGAGAGATCAGTGGGTATTAATCAGTGAGCTCAGTGGCTGTGCTCAGTCCCTTCTCTGCAGAGATCCCCCCGTGCCCCCTCCTGTGGGAGAGAACAGAGCTCCTGCAGCCCAGGCCTGGGCTTGGGATGCTGCTGCTGTGCACTGAGCCTTGCCCAGCTCAGCTCCAGACCACTTGGGAGAGGACAGGGGAGGGGGACAAGCAGGCAAATGTTTGGAGACCACAGTTAAATGTTAATGTCTCCTAATGAGGGGCCCCCGGTGCCGGCTTCCATCACGGACTTGGCTATCCCACTGTGAGGGAAGCTCTACAAACACGTCCCTGCCCTTTCAGCCGGCTGCAGTGAGCCAGGGAATGTTGGCTGGGAAGGAGAGGGAGGCTGAAGGGGTCCCTGAGCTGGGGAGGAGGAGGATGAGTTGCTGCAGTAGAGCTCTAATGATACCTGTCAAACCAGGCCATGCACCATCAGCTTCAGAGCTTGCCTTCCTCATAGCAGCCTTGAGAGATGAGGCAGATACATCCCCAGAGGAGGAGTTTGTTCTGACCCTGCTCTTTCAGTCAGACCTCTGCTGGTACAGGAGAAATACCTCAGTAAGCTGGGAAACAATTTACTGTTAGAGACGAGCAACACCCACCGACCTGCCGCCTTCTTGGTGCTTCCTTCCCCCCATTATGGAGGATTTGCCGTAAAAAGGGACACCCAAACCACTTCAGAGAGGGGCACAAACCTGTTTCCTGCCACCCAAAAATTTTCTGTTGTCCTCAGGGTTTCCTCCCTTCTTTACAGACTGAAGTTTGTGCTGAAGTCTCCATCTTCACTGCACCACCCTAATGGCAAGCTTAGAAATCCTGAGAGGATCCAGAAGGTAAAGCAGAGATGTTTTCTCTTCCTAACTCCTTCTTGCCACTGCACCAAACCTGATCTGAACCCAGGTGTTGAACTACCTGGGCTGAAGCTGCCCTGCTTGTCTGGGTTATGCAGCACTCCCTGAAACACCCTCCCATGGAGGGTCATCGTTTGGCAGATGGAAAACCCTTTTGTTGCACTCTCAGACAACATCCAGCTGCAATGCATTAGGAGGAGAGGCAGAGACACCAATTGCAACAGGGAAAATTCCAAGTAGATGTTAGGAAATCATTGCTTCTTAAAGACTCTCAAAATTCAACTTGACAAGGCACTGAGAAACTTCATCTAAGTTGGCTCTGCTTTTAGCACAGGATTGCACCACAGACCTCTGAAAGTCCTTTCCAACCTCAGTTATTCTGACTGTCCCAGCACAGTCATGGGGAAGGGCTGTGCTGGTGTGTGTATGTCCAACAGCAACCTGAGAGAATTCAGCTGTACCCCAAAACAAGCTCAGAGATCTCAGGGTCAAGATTTATTGTCTAACATCTCTGCAGATTTGTGACAAGCCAGTCAAACCACCAAAACAACGCTGGGCTTTTGCAGAGGAGAAGAGTCAACCCTGAAACCTCTCACTGTCTTGTCACACTGCAGAGTACTCACCTCAAACCTCTGGAATGATGATTCCATTTGCTAAGACTCATATCAAATGTGGGTTTAATCAACATCAACAACAAAAAAAACCCTCAAAAATATAATAACATCAGACCTCCCTCTCTGTCACAGAGGGATGTTTATAACCCATCTCCTTACAATACCCACTGCCAGAGACACTTAACAACTACGTCTCAAACTGATCTGCCCATGAAAAAACACTGAAAATTATAAACCCACTGGCACATCACAGAATTATTTTTTTCCAAGCCTTCAGGACCAACAAGTTGGTACTGAAAACTGGCTTCCAAGCTTTCAGTAACTCAAATATCAGATGAAAAATGCCAGATGATCCCTGATTTCCCTTTCCTCCATACAGATCCAGTTCAATGGCCTTTAGCTTTGAGCATCACATGTGTGCAAAAATGCCACAAAAGGTCAAGATGTATCACTGCACACTCAGGAACATTTCAATTTCTCAGTGGGGCCAAATTCCAAGCCTGTGCTTCCTTTCAGATAGGTTCCAGATTTAATACAAATTGCGTCTAAGAGAACACATAAAGTGTAAAGTGTAGAGTGTAAAGTGCTCCTTTCACTCACCACCAGAAAAGAGAACTATTTCCTCCCTCCTTCTCCTCCTCCTCCTCCTCCTCCTCCTCCTGGGAGGATGAAAACAGCTCAGAACCTCAAACCAATCCTTGCACTAGCAGGAACTCAAAAGGTGGCCTTGGGAGGGACTGGAGGAAGATATAAATGCTGATAGCTGGAGACACAGAGCAACACTGAACTGGAGAGACTCGAGGGAAGGAGGAATCAGAGACACCAAAACAAGAACATGAACCTGAAACTTCTTTTCTGCCCTGGATTCCTTCTGCTGCTCATTGTCAGTCAAAACCAGGCAGGGGCCAGGTCCATTTCCAGCTTACAGGTGAGTGACTGGCTGCTCAACAGAGCAGAGAGAAGCTGATGGTGCTTTAGGAATTAGACACTTCAGATGAGCTCTGTTTCTTCCAACCCCAGCTAAAGCAGCAGGAGAAACTCAAGACAGGTGACAGCAGGAACCCTGAGGTGGGCAGGCAGAGAGTTATTAAACAGGGGGAAACTAAAGTCCTTGATTACTGGGTTTAAGTTTCTGATCACACGAGGCAGCTGAAACGAAAATGTTTTGCTTTTTCTTTTTTTTTCTTGTGGGGTCAGGTTGGGGATTGGAGGTGCAGGATCATCCTGTGACTGAGTAAAACAGTGAGCTTTTGGAGTAAAAGGAATGATCCTGGAAGGACTGTGACCTCAAGCCGTAGGGCAGTCACCTGCATGCTCCTCCCTGAATTCCCTGGTTTTGGCTGGAATTACGGGGTTGTACCTGCAGGATCTCCTCCTCAGCTCAGTGGTGCCAGCAATGCAGCCCCTGCTTGGGAGTCCCAGAGGCAGAACACAAGAAAAAGTGGAAGTGTGTATGTGTGCCTGTGTGTATTTGTGTGTGCAGCAATGCCAAGTCAGCAGGAAAACACATTTCAGCCACTGGACTAAGAATCTGGTATTGCCAAATATGAAGTAACCTCCCAGCCTGTAAAGAAATATATAATGTAATCCTTCAGTACCAATTTCAGTGTGTTCTTGCTTTGATTTTTTTATTATTCCAACATATCAACTGTTTTTTTCTTGTTCCTTATTCACTTGACCGAGGCTCTTTCGTCATTTTTCACAATTTATCCCACACCCCAGCACCAGGAAAGGATTAACTGGCAGTCTACCAGCTCAGAACTATAGGATTCACCAAGACCATACAGCCTGAGAGCACCTTGAGAGAGCACTCAGAGTTAGCTCAGAGAAGCTTTTGTGAGCCAGAAGAAAGCAAAGATAACCATCATCAGCCTCAGAAAACACTTCAGTACTTTCATGTTAAAAATAAATGTCCTCAAACTTAGTGCTGAACGTGGCTTATATGAAAATAATGAGAGTTTCCACAACCCTTCCTTCTCCTCCTTCTCCACTTTCCACCCTTTTCTTTTCCCAGAGTCTCTCCAAACTGCTGGATGAAGATCTGGAGCTTCCCCTGGTCTCAGAAGAGAGGGGCCAGGAGCAAGATGAGCTGATCCCAGGAGGTGTCTTTGACCAGGAAGATCCTGAACTGCAGTGGCTCCAGAACCCCAGGGAGCAGCCCCAGAGCATGTCCATGGGGGACGGGGCCATCCCGAGATTCTTCAGCGACCTCCTGAGCTCATCCCGCAGATACCGAGGCAGAAGCAAGAAGGGCCTCCCCAGGGGCTGCTTTGGTGTCAGGCTGGACAGAATTGGGGCCCTGAGTGGCCTGGGGTGCTGACTCTGCAGGGTGGTAAGAGAGAGCCAGAGGCAGCTCTGTGTGTGTGACCTGCACGAGAGCAGAGTTAACTCAGCTTTAATGAAATGGTGCCTTAAAGTAACTTTTACCCTCCTATCCCCAACACATTTCATTATTTTACCCTCCTCCAGTGCACTTCTCTTTCTTTTATTTATTTATTCCTCTGCTTTCTTGACAGGGCTGGCTTTGAGGTTTCAAAGGAGCTGTTGCCTTTCAGTGAGAGATTCAGCTCTTTTTCATGTTGGCTCCACCATCTACTACCCGATGTACTGAGCAGATTGCACCCACTTGTCCTCCCCTGAATTACCTGGCCAGCAGAACACACCTTTGCTCTACTGCCTGCCTGTGTCAGAGTAACTATGTGTGAACATCTATCTGAAATTTAGTTGCAAAAAGCCACATTTGTACTGTTTGTGTACTAAATGTTTAAATAAACAAGTCTGATTATGCCACTGTTTTCCATAATTTAGTGAATTTGCTTCATGTGTCATTCCTGAAACAGAGCCCCAGTCTGCAGTTAGACACAAAACCCACTGGAATTCAGGAGCATTTCAGGGGGCTGCTGTCTGGTAATCAGCAATCAGGACACAAAAAGCCCCAAAGTCCTTGACCCACAATTTGCACTAAGGGCAGCTCTTTTAGGTGGCATCAATAGAAACAGCGAGTCTGCATTTAGATCTGCCACTGGCAGAGGAAAACAACTGTTTCTTCCTATTATATCTTACTTAAAAAAAAAAAATAAAACCTAAACAAAAAATAATACTGCCCTTCTTTAAAGGAAGTCCAAGGGCACCCCACTCTTCCTTAGGCAGATCCAGGTAGTTCAAAACACTGAGCAGAAAATTCAGAAACATATCCTGAAGGCTTTTCTGGTTAACAGTCTTGGTTAGCAGTCTTATGCTGTTTGCTACTTAATCTGTTTAAGTTGACTTTAATAACAAAGCAACAGCAACTCTGAAAATGCCCTGAACAGGCACTCAGTGGGATTTACAGACACCCCTGAGTACAAGCTCTCCAACGACGGATTATAGAATGAATATAATGCATACATCATATAATGCAATGAATTTATTATACTCTATGTTGCTTTTCCTAAGCAAAAAAATCACAAGAAAATTAAGGATTTCACCAGTCAGATGAAGACCTAAAGTCAGGAACGGAAGATGAAAGAACAAAGCCGTTTTCACCATAATTCCATATCAATAGACTGTACATGGCTTAAAACTAACAATTTACTTAGGCTAAGAAGAAGCAGATCTGCTTGCTTTGAGGAACCAGTGTCTTGTGGCAGTTGCTAATGGGAAGGTTACAGCCCCCCTCCTACTAATCCTGAGTCTAAACCTTTCTCCCAGCTCCCAGTAACCCTCAGAGCAGGGACATTCTCACAGGCATAAAAGCTTCCTAACGCTGAAATTTCGATGAAAATCCCATGAGGGGTAAGTGCTGCTGGAGTTTGTTTCCTGAACATCCTCAGCTTGTTTCCAAACTCAGCTACATTAACGTAAACTGTGGGTCATTGAAGCTCTTTGCAGGACAATAACAGTGGTCAGAGGAGGTTGAAGTCTGAGCTGTGAGCACTTGTGACCAGAATCCTCCAGAAGACGAACAAGAAACAGATAAGAGCTGCAATTATAGAGGCCGAGCTGGTAATGTGCCATCCCCTCACCTGGCATTTTGTGGGAACATTTTAAAAAGCCACTTTTCAGAAAGCAAGAACAATTTATTTCACATAAAAGGCTCCATAATTAGATCCCCAGGACTGAAGCCAAGTGTGTTTGTACTTTAGGTAATTTGCTGAGTCCTATTAGCATTTCAATAATCAAAGCTGAGCTTTGAAGTGAGGATGCCAGTCAGATGGGGGAAGCTCATCTCTGGCTGTGCCATTTCCATCTCCACTAAGCAGCAGTTCATGAATTTACAGACCAGGATTACAGAAGTGGCTGAGGAGAAAAGCCTCCAATAAAACTGCTCCTGCACAGAAATAAACATAGATATATCTTTCTCAAATATGTCTGCTTATGGGGAAACTGATTATAAGGGATGCCAGGCAGCAGTCGAGATCTAATCTCATCCAAGACTCATTTCTGACTAGTTTATTATTAGAGGGCTAAATTGTATTTATTCCCCTTGGTCATCCCACAGATCCTGTACACTCTCACTGCTTTATCCCTCTCTGTTCCTGTCTGTCTCTAGCACACACAAAATCGAGGTTGGTTCACATCCTCTCCCATATCTGCTCTTATTCTGTATCAACATTAACACTCCCACCTGGCGTGAGCTTCCTTCCTCCGCGTTCCCTGCCTCCACAACGCACACCTCATTTCTCCGCCAGGTTCTTCTTTGCTGTGATGCCTTAAACAAAACCACCTGGGGCTCCGTCCCGCCGGGGCGGGGATCCATATCCCCATTCTCCTTCCCTCCGCAGGACCTCCTGGAGGCGCTGGGGCAGCCCCGGGAGGAGGACGGGGAGCCAGGCCCGGAGGACGAGCCGGTGGCCGGGGCTGAGGGCGCTGGATCCGAGCGGGAGCTCCCGGGGTTGCGGACCCCGGTGCCCGGGAGGAGCAGAGCCGGTGACGAGCCTCCCCGTCCTCTCCCCGACAGGGACACTTCTCCGGCTGCTTTGGGGCGAGCCTGGAGAGGACGGGAGCGCACACGGGGCTGGGATGCAGCGGGTTCCGAGCCCGCGGGTGCCGGGGCGGAGCGGGGCAGGAGCGGCCGCTGTCCCCGGCTGAAGGCTCGGAGCGGCTCCCCCGCTGCTCCCTGCACTCATCTCCCAGCTTTCTGGGGGACAAGGAGAAGCTGAAGTCTGGACCGGCTCCCAAGCGCTCTCTGAGCCCCCCAGGCCGGTGTCCAGCAGCCGGACCCGCGGCAGTGGGGTGCGGAGCAATACATTTTAGTACAAAGCCTGCATTGCTTTCTCTGAGTGTTTTTTTTTTTCTCGATCATGGCCTAGCACACGGCCAGATGATACAGAAACCCCCTCCAGAGCGCTCTTCTCCCTCTGCTCTAAGGGCTCGGACTCGGCTCTGGCCAGAGCACTACACGCGGTCTGCACAAGCCTTCGTGGAGGGTCGCAGCAGCAGGAAGGATGGGGGTTGCATCCTTCCAGGACGATGATCAGTCCCGCGACCCACCACGCTGCAGTGAAGAGGCAGTGCCAGGCACCGCTGCCAGCTCCGGGAAGCCTTTCCCGACGGCTTCACGGCTGCCTGGCAGGGAATGTTCCCAGGAGGTGGGCGCCGGGCTCGGGGTGAATTCCAGCTGGTGTCCTACACGCACCCCTGTGCCGTGGGTGCCAGCGCCAGGTTTGGCACAGAGGGGGCCGCTGAGGACACCCCATCGCTTTAAAAATACATTTGGCTGCGGACGAGGCGCTGCCAGGGCTTCAGCACCCGGGACAGACGCCAGTGCCCCGCACGCTGAGAGCCGGCACCGCCGGGCTCTGCCGGGCTCTGCCGGGCTCTGCCGGGCTCTGCCGGGTTCCCCTCGCCTGCCCGGAGCTCCCTGATGCCCGCACTGAGCCTGGAGAGCCCAGCAAAGAAAGGGGCAGCCGCCACACAGAGAGAATACATCCCGATCACCGGGAGAAATAATCCGTGTTTGGGATGAAAATCAATTTCCCCCCTTGGAAAAAGCGAGGCACCACTTTTAACTGCCTTAACTGCAGTAGCGCAGTTGGACATTTAATGGGCATTTTGGATCTCCCTTTTGATTCTCACACTGCCTCATCTCTTCATTTCCTTCTCAATCTAACCAAAGCGCAGGGAAAGAGTGCTTGGGTGGGGTATGATGTAGTTTTGTCAGAGGGTTTAAACAGTGGGAGATGAAAGGAATCCAAACCCAGCCTCTTCCTCAGAGCAAAAGCTTCTACAAAGGCTCCTTACAGTCAGCTCAGACTCCTCAGCCGCAGAACGGCAGTAGGAGCATCGGACATCGCGGGAGGGACGTGCGGCAGGTCGGGGCAGCACTCAGGGACAGGTCTATCTGCAGAAGGAATCCACGTGGCACCACCCCCAGGCTTACAGTCCTCAGCCTTACAGGGCTGAAAAACAAGGGCGTAGAATCCTCCTGCAGGACAAGGGGCAATGTGACCCTCAGCTGAGCTCCGTCCATCCTCCTGCTCGCAGGGATCCTCACCCGGGCTGCAGCAGCACTTTTGGTGCTCCCCCTCTCCCCTCTGAGCAGCCAGAGCTGCTCTACCGGAGCCTCATCACCCCACACCTCCCATCCCGCGAGCCTGAGGAAAAGTGCCAGTTTCCCAACCCTAAAATCACTCACATCAAGCTTTTCATAAGAACCTGCTGCCCTGTTAAGGCTCCTGATAGGGTTTTTACAGGGGAAATGCCCAGCTGAGCTCAGGAGGTGCCTGGATCCCGACTATCCATCGGGGGCTATAAAGCCTTAAGTTCACATTCATCTTACCAGGGTGGTGACACTGAGATAAAACAAACAAACAAACAATAATGAGCTGAGTTCTGACATTTTTCTATACAAAAAAAAAAACAAACCACAAAGCAAAGCTCAGAGTAAGTGACAAAAAGTTTTCGTGCAGGGACAGCACTAGAGAATATTTAGTGGGTGGGAGCGTGAAAGAAACAAAAAATATAGCAATAACAAATATTAATTATCTTAAATTGGACACTGGATACTAATGAATAATTCTGGTTTATCTTCTCACACTTTTTTTGCAGTTTACAAAACAAAGTTACACCTCGGTGTAAACAAACACACACACACACCAAGAGCGGCAGGAAGAGAATGATTGTAACTCATTAGTGAATTATACAGACACTGCATCATGGAGTGTTAATTAAAAATAATAATAATAAAAAAAAAAGCTATCAGGATCTTAGTTCTTAATAGCACAAAACAAGAATGTGTTGGGGTGACACAAAAAAAGAGCATTTCCTCCATGTACTGAAAAAAGAAAGCATGGAGGAAAAATAGAAGGAGTTTTTATAATAAAGGTTTTCATCAGAACACACACAGAGTTGGGCTGAATTCAGACTATATTAGGAAAAAGTAGCATCTGAGCATGACTCCACAACCTTGGGAATGTCCTTTCCAGTATAATTTTGGTAGCTGATCATGTGAACAGTATGTCCACATGTTTGTACACAAACACCATGTTAAAACATTTAAGACATGAGAAATATTTTATCATTGTTTTATTATTTAGAAACTAATCAGGAGATCCCTTCAAGATCTATATTCATATGAAAAGTCAATAAATTATAGACGTGCATTCTTGCTTCAATCTAAAATAAAAAGAAAGATTAGAAAAATGTGGGGCAAACAATGTGCTTCACAATTTAGAACTCTCGCATCTCTGTAAAAAAAGCTTTAATTTTAGTTGCACAATATTCACAAAGACAACCATGGAAGAGGAATTTTCAGCAAATCTGTATTTAATTTAAGAACAGGCAGTTTTTAGCCAATTTAAAAAACTTCAGCACTCAAATAAGTAAATAAATACTTTTGGTTTTTAATACATTAAACTGAAGATTTCATTTTAACCCCTCCCAAACCACATAGAGACACAAATTCACCCATTCTTCCACGGGGGAAGATTCTGATTAACACTGAAAGCCATCAATTGAAATTTCTCATCGAGCAAGTTTCTTTCTTGTACGAGGGTACACAAAGATTATTCCTGTATCTGGCCACCTGGCCTTTCAGTGTTATTGCTGTAGGGTCAAGCCTTACCATCGAGTGTTGAAAGAAATCCCATTATTTACAGGTTTGGCTGTTAACAGGGACGGTGTTTTCGGCGGTGGGGGCTGGAGGCACTCGCTGTCCCCGCAGAGTCAGTCCTTGCTGAGCTGCAGATGGAGGTGCTGCTGCTGTGGGTAACACACAAACACCAAGTCCCAACGGTGATATCACCCCAACAGCACTGGGGAAAGAGAAGTTGGCCCAAATCTGGGATTTTCAGCACACTCTGTGGTATGCGGTGGCTGCACATATTCCATTTATAGAAGGGAAGTGTGCACGATGCTGTAGGGGTCCTAAAAGTAGATTTATCTTCAGCCTTTACTCTTCACCAAATACTCATCTGAAAAGCCTCGTGCTTTCCCTGTAAAAGGTCATTTCTCTGTGGAAATCTTCTCACCGAGCAGAGTTTGGGGTTGTTTCCCATCTCTGTCAATCTGACCATTCTTGAAAGAAAATTGCTAAGAATTTCCAACTGGACCGTGTAATCACAGCCCCGGTATCAAGAGGAGGGGGAGTGACATGAAATCACTGACTTGTGACATACATTCCTCAGCCACGGGTGGCTGCTGCCTAATGACAGCTAATAAAGGGAATCTTCCCTTGACAGAGCTGCGTGCCTGCAGAGGGACTGGAATGTGCCCAAGATAAACCCCCTGATAACCCAGGAAGCAGAGATCACACCCAAAGAGTATAAAAGACGAGAGCTTCGGAAGAGAGAGGACAGGACAAGGAAGAGAGAGACCTGAAGGGACATCTCAGAAGGCACAGCTCGAACTTCGCTATTCCCAACGAGCTCGGCGCCATGGACACTAAAGGCTCACTTTCCTGTGGCTTCCTCTTGCTGCTGCTCATCCAGCTCCAGTCCAGCAGAGCCAACCCCATCTACAGCCTCAGCCCTGCCAAAGAACTGGCCAGCATGGAGGTGAGGACTCTCTCTCTTCTCGAGGTTGAACTTTGGGGGTGCTCAGCAGGGTGCGAGGGGGGTGCTTTGCTTTCCCTTCACATGATCAGGCAGCAGTGGCCACATCAGCCATCACCTGCCAGGGGACAAAGCCTCAGCTCTTCACGGGGCTCAGAGAAGCTCTGCAGGGCAATATCTCCTGTGCTGGGTTCACCTGAGCTCCTGGGCAGCACTGGGAATTAAAATTGCCACATTGTGGGATGTCTGCTTTGGGTTTTCGGTTCTTTTTCTCTTAAAGATCTCTTAAAGATCCACCTCCTTGGGAGCAAAGCTCCAGAGAGGGACAAAAAATCATCAGAGTAGGTCTATAAGAACAAACAGAGAACTTTGAGGTGGGCTCCTCTCTACCCCACTAAAGGGCAGGAGCAGTGAAGGAGGGCAGACACGAGGCTCTGGCTTTGTGAACTTGAGAGATTTGTGTATGGATGGGAGATGAGGAGGTAAAGTGGAGCACCCAAAGTCAAACTTCTGGAAATGCTGATAGAGGAATACTATAATTATTTAGCCTTCTCATCCAGGAAGGCTTCCAGAGCTATAGAATTACAGCTACAGAATTACCAAGTGCAAACTTAAATGAATGACAGAGAACATCTATTGTTGCAGCACAACAGCAGCTTAAGACTCAGTCTTGCAAGATGAAATCTGAAAGCTCAAACCTTTCCCTGGTCTGGTACCAGTGACCACCTTCTCACAGCTGTTCTCAGGGCCTGAGAACAAACTCCCTGAGATAATGGGACAGTGTCAGCTGTAGCTAAAACCACCCAGTGCCTCTGGGCTGTTTCCAGCAGCCAAGAAGAGCGGCTTCCAAAAGCATTTATTGTCAGGCAAGCCATGAGGCTCACTCCTCTCTATTCTACTTCCAGAGATGGGCAATTAGGTTCCCCTAATTGCTTGAAGTGCCCTTGAGAAGGTTATCTGATCCCTGTCACACAAAGCTGTACAAATTACGGAGAGTGGTGCCCAGGAAGCAATCACTCAGCAGGCATTAATTTAGCACATGGGTATTTTTGGTTACTTTAAGGAGCAGCAATCCTGTAACCCCTGGGACAGATATCAGTGAAAACAACAAGTTTCTGCAAGTGATGTCCATAGAAATTGCCAGGGATGACAAGCAGCAACTTCTGAGAACATGGCTATGGATCCAAAGTTCTCTGAGGCTGCACCACTGCTGTGCAACTCAGACCTTGGGCTTCTTTTCTCTGCCAAGAGTTGTAACCTTGCCAGTAAGACACACTTGGTGCCAAGCAGCTTCATTCAGCTCACAGCTGTATCTTCCCACAGATGGAATTGCTGTGAATGGGGATTTAGTGCAGGGGACAGAGCTCAAGGGCCTGGCATCCAACCCGACAGTCTCCCTGGGGCTGCCTATGGGACTACTGATGACTGGAAGAGTTAGCAAATGCCCACAAAACCAGGAGTTCCATGAAGTTACTCCTTCTCTTACAGGCTCTGCTGGAGAGGCTGGAGGATAAGTTTGCCATGATTGAAGCCCTGGAGTCCAACCCTGACCTGCAAGAACCCAAAGCCCAGGAGGAGATCCGCCCGGAACTCGGCGACGACAGCGAGGACCAGAAGGCTGAGCCCAGGCTGGCACCCAACACCCCCCTGTCCTACAGGGAGCCCTTCCTCAAGAGGCTGAGGGGGCTGCAGATGCCCAGGATGGTGAGAGATTCCGGGTGCTTCGGGAGGAGGATCGACAGGATCGGCTCCCTCAGCGGGATGGGCTGCAATGGTGAGTCCTGCCCGGGCCACTTCACTGTGCTTGTGCCACCCTTTAAACCTTTAAGAAGACACAGTTTGAGAAAGGAGTTAATTTTAGCCTAGCATTTAAGCCAGTACTGGTTTTTCAAAAGCTCTGTTGACAATGGTGGCACAGAAACAGATTTTAGTAACATTTATTTCATGTTTGGTTTGCAGGTTCCCGGAGGAATTAGGATCAGCCTCCCTATTCCCTACTCTGAAGAATGCTTTACAGTACCTGCTCCTCCCAAGATGAAAGCCAGATGCTTTCCAAGCTCCTCAACAGAAAGTTATTCCTATTTTTATTTATTTATTTATTTATTTATTTGATGTTTTTTTAAAAGAACATTTCTTGCTCTAGCACCAAGAGACCATCTTTAAATAAAACTAACACGTTAGACATGTATGCTGGACCACTCTCCTGTCTGTTGCATTAAATTTTCTTGCATTTTCCTAAAGTCAAAATCTTAAGTTTTTTTGGTGTCCTGGTACCCACAAGGCTGGATCTTACACGAGATAGAGAAAGTATAAATTTGGTAGAAACTAAAATGAGTATTTCACTAGAGTTTTTCCATCTGCACTAAGAAATTCTAACCGATTAGCAGGAAAAGAAAGCTTGTTCAACATTGAAACACCAACATACATAGACAGGGTTTCAGTAACAAGAGAGTCCTTTTGCTGATTTAGATTATTCAATCACAGGAACTGCCACAAATCCCCCACGTAAGCAAAATTTACATGGAAAGAAATAAGAAAAATCATGACACTCCACGAGTTTCAAAATAACCAGAGGGAGGAAAGGGAATTCATTGTATTTGCTTTCTAGCACTGGCCAAATAAACGTTACCAGCATCAACAGAAAGATACATCAGTAACTGTGTCTTGTCTCACTCTGCACGTGGCTGAGATGCTGATTCCCAGCATTTCTTGAAGGATTCCTTGAATAATCCTTGAATATTCCTCCTGAGAGGGCAGGTGGGATCACTCCAATTACAAAGCAGCTTGTACAGAACATTTATCACTTTCTGGGAAGAGCCTCTGACAAAGCTGTTCTGACAGGGCTGATGGGAACACTGCAAGGCTGGTTAGGGTTTATTTAACCTTTGTTCAGTGAGATTTCACACTTAGGAGCTGAATTTGACCCAAAACATATTCTCCCCCTCCCAGACAAAGGAGGTGATATTGCCAAGAGCACATTCAGTGACCATCCCAAGGACCAAAGAGCTCGGAATCCCATCAGCCCCAACAATGGCATCGAGCCCAGCCCAACACAACTGTCCCGTGACCGCACACACTGCTGGGAACTGGGCTATTTTGAGCACCTCATGAGCCTCATTCCCAGAATCTCAGTCCATTCCCAGGTACTGGAGCACCCTGGGAAGCTTGTTCAGGGCCTGAGGAGGCAACACCAGGACAGACTCAACTGGACCAGTCCCATTCTGACTCTGCTGATGCAACGGCACAGGGGGAGAGGAGCAGCAGCTGCCCAGGACAGGCTGTGCCAGGCAGATGTTCCAGAGCTGGGACAGCTGCTCACAAAGGCTCTCAGGGACCAGGGAAAGGGAAAATCCAAGTGCACACCACCCCTGTCACAGCCAAGGCTGCTGCACCCCTTGAACAGGGCTCATGCCACACACATTTCTGACAGCCCACCCTGCCAGTCCCTCCCTGCACCGCTGGCACGGCCCCTGGGAGGGACCTGAGTGCTCCCTGCATGTTGGGCCTTGTGGTTCTTCCCCAGGGAAGAAGAATAGAAGTCTAATCTGAGGAGATCATTTTGCTCCACTCCAATAGGAAACCACACCTCAGAGCCCCTCCCTCCAGCAATGACAGCTAATAAAGGTAAAATACTCTGTGCAACAGTGTCCACACAGGTTTCACTGGCAGGGAATGAATTCCCAGCAGCTTCCATGAGACATCTCTGCAGTGAAAGCTACAGTGACTCTGCATTTACTCACAGGCAGTTTCACAGATCGAGGGGGTGTGAAGTCACCCTTTGGGGAGCCTTTATGGGGACAACAGGGCTTTGTCTTCTCAAAGAGGCTTTCCAAATGCACCTGTTTCCTGCTGCAGCAAGATGGGAACACACAGGTGGATCCCTCCACATCAGCAATGGGCAACAGCCCGACTTCCCATGTGCTGCTATTAGGGGAAGTAAAAACAATCCACTTACTCAAACAATAACAACTCTTGCTGGAACTGAATTTTACCCAGTCAAGCAAAACTTGCACAGACACTGTAAATTGTCCCTCCCTGTCAGCCCCTTGGGGCACAAAACGCTAATTAGTTCAGTGGAACGTGCTAAAAATGGCAAGAAGAGTCGATGCTGCCTGACCCGAAGCCAGGTGGGTCCAGTATTAACAGCAAGCCAGTTCCTGGTGGAACAAGTCTGTGTGGGCTGGCAGACAGTAACTTAATGGACCCTGGGGCCTGGGAGAACCTCATTGAGGGTAAGCAATCGAGGAAAAAAGCACCTCTGACTGGATTTTTACTGCTGCTCCCATAAACACACTGAGCTGTAAAGCTCCCTCAGGGAAATCCCACAGCCAGGTCAGAACAGGGACAGGCACAGGGAAAAGCTGAATGAGGGGAACTCAGCACTGATGGGCTCTGCAGGCAAAGAGCCACCACTGCTGATGTGAGGGCTGGATCAGAGAGAGCAGGGAACAGCCTTGGGAAGAGCCACCCTTGCAGATGAACACCCCAGTGGGATCAGAGAAGGACCAGGCTCACCCCCTCCCCCTGGCTCTGATGACATTTGCCACCTCCTGCCATGCCAGAACTTCATTCCCACTTCCTAACAGCTCCTGGCAGAACCCCTGATGGGCAGTGCATAATTCAGCAGCTTTCTGTCCTTTGAGCTCTGAAACCCAGCAGTCCCACCAGCACTCTCCACACACCCCGTAAGGCACGAGCCTTGGCTGGAAAAGCAGTTTGCTTGGCCTGGGCTTTATTTGCAGACTGCCTGTGACGGTTTCTTCGCCCCTCAGATGCTGCACTATCCCTTTCCAGCTCCCCTCTAGATGAAATGCTTCACTGGAATCTGAGTGTGCAGACAAGAATGCCCAGAGGAGCTGTCAGCACCGCTTTGTTTCTCCAAGAAATCATGTGTGGAGCACAGGGCACACACCCTGCACTGCTGCAGGGAGATGGGAGCTGTGCCAGCTCACAGCCCAGGCTGGCCACAGCCAGCTTGCTTGATTTACTTTCCCCGAATCTTGGGCCCCAAAGGCATTTGCTGATTGACATCTGCTTGATAAGTGCGTCCCACTACTTTTATGTGGGAAGGAAGGATGATTTGTAAGACCTTCCCCCCCTCCCTCACCATCTCCTGACTGCTCTCTGGGAAAACCAGCACGATCCTGTGCAGAAACAGCAGCGGAGTTGGGAATAGGGCAAGTTTTAAGAAAACAGATGGTGGTGGGAAGGCAGCTGCAGTCAGGCCTGCTGTGCTGGGAACTGGGGGGAAGCAAAGGAAAGATAAAACCAGTGTGTAAGTTCAGCCATCCCAAGAGATATTCTCTAGTACAGGCTGGGGGAGTCAGCGAGGGGCTCAGGGTTGTCCTGCCTTACCTGTTCAGAGCTGTGAGCTGTCAACACAGTGTTGTTTTCTATGTTCATCTACTGAACCTGGTACATGTGGGGTGCAGTGTCTGCTCCAAAATGCTTAAGGAATCATTGAAATGTGTGTCAAACCATGCCCAGCCCACACAGATTTGTGCCTTTATTCCTGCACGTGTCCCCAGAGAAGGGACACCCTGCTTGCTTTTTAACAGTGATCTCAACATCCAAACCTCACAGACTGATACCCCTCCTCACTCCCCACATGGTGGAACTCACTGATGCTTCATTCCAGCTCCCAACAAACCCTTTCCACACACTGCATGTGAGCAAACAGCAGGTGCAGAAGAGGCTGAGTGTATCCCACCACTGCTGGAAAGCACTTCAGCACCCTGGACAAGAAGAGCAGCTTCACCTTCCCCTCACACACACACAGAGCCAAAGCTCAAGGACAGCCATCCCCTGCTCCTTCCTGTGTGTGCTGCATGAGCCACACCTGTGTGGGAATGTACACACCACACACCTGTGTGGGAATGTACACAAGGTGAAATAAAGCAAAAATTTAAAAAAAAAAAAAAATCACCTCACTGAATTCATTCATTCAAGAGCTGGACTTGATGAGCCTTGTGGGTCCCTTCCAACTCAGAGTATTCTGTGATTCTGGAAATTTTTCTGCTAGAGCCCCAGCATGCTGGGGAACACACATGGATTTAATGAGTCTCTAAACCTCTCATTCCCTCCTCCATCCCTGCATTTATGACCAAAGGCAGCACAGAGCTGAAGCAGAGTTCCCTGTTCCTTACGTTTTTGGCCTGCAAGCACGTGATGAAAGCTCAGAAAAGTGTCACAAAGTATTTTTATGGAAGGCAGACAGCAGGATAAAGCAGGAAAGGTAGCCATAAACTAAATAAAGGTTTAAATGAAGATTTTTCACATCCTGGAGAAGCCACCTGAAAAACAAGAGGTGCCACACTGCACTCTGAGCCTCTTTCATTATCTTACTGGGAGGAAGGTGAGTTCTCAGGTAAGGAAAGCAGCACAGTTCAGCTCATCAAACACTGGAAATTCCCTCCTTTGATACAGCTGTTGTGGGAGAATGTGGAATTACAGTGGTCACAACCTCAAGGATCACACACAGCTCCTCTCTGCCCACCCCCAGGGCACCTTCTGCACAAACTGTTAAATCCAGACAGCTCATAAATAGCAACTACTCAGCTCCCTCAAATCATGCTCTTGGATGTTGCCATGTTCTACCAGTTTTATTATCATAAAGGGCAAAAATAAAACAATGCTAGAAACATCAAAAGGGCAAAAATTAAAACAATACTAGAAACATCAAAAGGCCTTGAAAGTGCTGAAGGAGACACACAAACATTTTACTCTCAGACATGTTATGGTTCACGTGAATACTTCCCAAGTGCCATATAGTTCAAATAAAAATATATTCATACAAATTTAAAAAAAAATACAATTTATATACACCATGGAATTAGCTTACATCGTTTCATAACAAAAAAACAGTG